TTTTCCTTTCTTTTCTTCATCGGCTTCAAGATAAACAAAGATCTAAATTCACCATTACAAATAATCTTGGAAAAATAAGATGATTTCAGTGCTTTTTAAATTTTCATATTTAATTTAAGCTTGACATCTAAACCTCTGCCATAATTTTAACTGATAAATCCATATACTGCTGTTTTGTTTTGTGTTGCACACAGCATGTACTACCACAAAGGAGTAATGGTTGAATGTAGCTACTATTTCACAGTGGCATTTAGCTTAGCTTAAGCATATTCAAGAAGGATGCACACTCAGCCTGTCATGATATGAAATGTTGATTAGTTATCATAACAAAAGTAATAAAGAAACATGTAAGGTATGTTGAATTTTCTGTTTTACCCTTTGTGCCACATAGCCACACATACAGTATACTGTTAATGACAGAACATCACGTTTTGTAATACAATTTTATTTTCTTTCGAACTTTACCTCATTGTGCCCTTTACTAAATGAACTGTGGACATACCACATTTCTGGTACTCCCGAATTTAAAATTACACACGCTGCTAGATGAGTGTTAGAGACCGAGGGGAAGTGACAGAGCTCACATGGCAAAATCTTCATGTTCAGTTGATCAGTTTTCAAGCTCGATCAGAAAGCTGTCTGGATGCTGCTTGAACACTGGCTCGAGTGCAAAGCCTCTAATTCTGCCACCCTTGGATCTTTGCCTTGCGAGTGTTTCTCTGCTGCACTAGCGCTTTACTGCTGTGATAATGGTTGTGAATTGCTTGTGAATTGTTTGTTTCATGCTGTATGTCACTTCTTTTCTCCTTCATGCAATGTGATTTATGCATTGTGATCATCTTGAAGAGGCCAGACAAGCTCTTTTGATCCTTAGAGCTGAAGCGCCACATCTGACTTTAAACAGGAGCCTCACATGAATCCAACAGTCCAACAGAGGAATTCTATGAACACCACTTCAGGTAATACAGATAAAATGCATGTTTGTGCTTATATCTCTGACAAAGGTCTGTGTAGATGACATTTCATGTCCCTCAACAGGTTGTTCCTAAAGATACAGTATGTGAATATACAAACCAAAGTAACATTCATTAAATATGCTTTATTCATTTGATGTTACCTTAGAGTCAGAGGACTGTGAGTGCTGAGTCAGCCAGAGCAAATTGGTTTGTCACTAATTTGGTAAAGTTGGCTAATTAACAGCATGATATTCTTCAAGACATCCACTAAACCCGATACCACATTTCCTGCACATGTTGATTCTGGCATACTGCAGATAACTTTTGTGAGTTAACTAGTTCGAATATTTGAAGAGGATGGTAAAAGAGGCAGAAGTTGTTTTGTGAGACTCTCCCCCTGTAAAAAAAAATGAGTCTATAGGATATTTGCACCAGCAGCTTAATTTGGCCAACAGTTACAGCAAGGGAGGAAAGTAGGTAACATTGTATGTAGAGTGACAAAAACATTGTTTGACACAGGTAACAATCTTTGGAAACCTTGTCCTGCAGAACACTTTAGATTGGTTGTGGAGGAAAATTTGATTCTGCCATCATTTTTGTCACTTGGCTTCTTTTTCTTCCAGGAGTAGCCAAACTCCTGTATCACACTCTGAGCCCTGAATACTGCATCCACTTTGTAGTGCCTTCCAGTTCTAATCCTAATTCTAAGATAATTTTGGGACAAAGGCAGTTCAACGCAACCCATCTGTTAGAGTTTGTTCTCGCTCAGTGAGATTTCATATGACTGTTTGATATTTTTGTCAGGTGGATAATAAGGTGAAATTGTGGCCATGCAGCTTTCAAGTTACATAAGGATATAAGAAATAAACTGATTTCCAGCAATGCAAAGTAGATAAAAACAAGCGTTCAGATTCAGAAAGTGAGAGGCCTCAACCTGACACTTAGGACGATATTAAGCGCTCTCATTATCTGGTGTCTTAAACAACTGTTTTCATAAGTGCTCTAAATCTTGACCTCTTCACATCCCTGAAGCATATCACGCTCATCACAACAAAAAAAAAGCTGAGACCTTGTGATGAATTCAGCTTGACATGCTCTAATCTCATTCTTTTCCTCTACAGAGTCAGGTATGCTTCACCGATTGCTTTTGCTTGACCTAAGGTCTCATGTTTCTTGAATGCTGCCTGGCCAACAAAAAAGACAAGAAGCTGTTGTTGAGCCTGGGCATTAGTAGTAAATGGGTTCCCACAGGCTATCAGAAACTGGCTAATTAAGTGTTATCATGATTGTGGTTATCTACTCCTTCTGTCCACCCAGCTTTTGCCTATAAATGTGTTTATACAAGTGGTGGGAAGTAAGACACAGCACATTTACTCAAATACTTTCATTTTTGGTACATAATACTACTCTACTACAATTCACATTCTGCTTTTTAACCCACTACATTTATCTTACTGCCACACTTAATTGTTAATTTTAAGATTTTACATAAAGTTATGAAATATGTCATTGTTAAATGTTAAATAATTTCCACTCTATTGATATGGCCCCAGCACGGTGGCACAGTGGTTAGCGCCGTTGCCTCACAGCGCGAAGGTTCCAGGTTCGGGCCCCACCTGGGACCTTTCTGTGTGGAGTTTGCATGTTCTCCCCGTGCTTGCGTGGGTTCTCTCCAGGTACTCCGGCTTCCTCCCACAGTCCAAAGACTTCTAGCTTGTGTTGATTGGTGTCTCTAAATTGCCCATAGGAGTGCATGTGCGTGTGTGTGGTTGTTTGTCTATGTGTTAGCCCTGCGATGGATTGGCGACCTGTCCAGGGTGTACCCCGCCTTCGCCCGATTGCGCGATGGATTGGCGACCTGTCCAGGGTGTACCCCGCCTTCGCCCGATTGCCGGCCGGGATTGGCTCCGGCCCCACCCGTGACCCCGCTCAGGGATTAGGCGGTAGAAAATGAATGAATGATATGGCCCCTTCCTATTAAACGCAGTTAAGTTCTGTTGTCACATTTCAGCTCCTAGCATTTCCACCAAATATTTTTTCCTCAGAATTTCTCTGTTGACTTAATTTCAATAACAGTTTGAGGCCCAAAGAAGTGAATCAATTTTCTACTCTATTAGTCATCTTATGGCTTCTCAGGTTTAACCAAACTGGTGACACTTTGGAGTCAGTATATAAAGTATTTATGTACATAAAGTATTTAAGACTGGCTCAACCTCAGCCAGCTACAACAGTACACTTCTGCTTATGGATTGATGCACCAATATTTTTTGCTTTCTCGCCAAGAATTAGATGAAAAGATTGATACTGTGTCTGTGTAATAAATATGTAGCTGGAGCTATGCCCTTTTCATATCACATTTATCATCAACTGCTTACACACACACATACCACTCGTCTGTAGTGTTAGTTGTGCCCCATGAAGAGATTTGTATCTGCTGTCTGACAGCTGCTCTGTCCCATATTAATACAATACACTACATCCATCTCTTTCGTTTTCCTGCCCTCTTTGGCTCAGTACTTTTCTTTCACCTCCTCTGCTTCCCACTCATATCCTTTATATTTCAGTGCATTCCTAAATCCTTTTAAAATGTCAGACAACACTTATATGCCAATGAATTTTATCAGTTATATAAAAAGCCTTTGCAACTTTGTTCTATGTGTCATAAATCCAGTCATTTTAACTATATGTCTTTCAGCTACAAAAATAAGCCATCACAAACCTTTGAGGTATGATGAGGACTTGTTTCACCTGATCATCTCATACCTTGTTCTCCCCTTTCTCCTTCTCTGTACCCTGATGATTTTCTTCTTCTCTTCTTCTACTCCTTTAGCTATGGTACTAAGCTCTGTTATAGGTTTATGTGTCTCGTTTTGGAATAAAACAACAGTGTAATGATTAGAATCTGGAACTAGTGGGAGTGTATGGGTGTGTAATACACACGTTGTGGGGATGTAAATCTTTTAACACAGTCCCACTGTCCTTGAAACCTAAATCATTATCCTACATATCAGAGTGATGACTTGGCTTCAGGTTAGGGGAAGGGTTAGGGCTAAGGTTAGGCAAACAGTAGTTATGGTTAAGATTAGGTTAAGTCTCCAGGAAATGAATGTAAATCAATGTGTGTGTATGTGTGTGTGTGTGTGTGCGTGTGTGTGCTTCTTTTTGTAACAGCAGGGGGCACTGCTGCTCCTTAAATGATAGCATGTTCTGCTGACCATAGATTATGTTGAATATCTTGCTCTAGTGAAGCCAGAGGGAAAACATAATCCACAAACAACAATATTAGCCTCTTGTTAGTTTCTTATTTAATAACAACCCAGTATCTTAAAACTTAGAGTTTAATTCCCTGGCATCGGGTTTCCCCTTCATGTTCTGATTACTGCATCTATTTGAATTTATCACTGTTTCCAGTAAAAACAATAAAACCACATGCTCAGACCTCATCTGCACTCTCTGGCACCTGATGCTCCGATCTTGATCCATGTGTACAAAGACTTATACTGCTTACATTTTTTAAAATCTAAAATAAAACAAGACCCCGTGACCCCGTTCAGAGACTAAGCGGTAGAAAATGAATGAATGAATGAATAAAACAAGACCAGTCTAGCAAATTAATTTTGTGGTTTCATGTTTGATAGCTTCATCTATGGGTGACTGTTTTGAACAATAACACTTTCTATTACTGTGACAGCCACAAGTAAAAATGTCCTACTCATTTTGAAAATGTGCAAAAAAACAGACTAGAAACATAGAAGCAGCTATCCTGCAATAATTATAAATAATTATGATTAACAGGGTAATGGTCATCACCTGTTGACTCCCTACCCCTAACTGTGAGATCTTGGCAACTAATAACTTATCACAGGCCTAGATACAAACCCAGTAAAGTTATTTGTTTGTTTGTTTAATGATCACTCATGTGCTCTTTTAAGAGAGAAAAGGGATCTGACCTGGAGATTTTTTTATTTTGCAAGGGATGTGGTATATAAAGAGGTGTGTATAATAGCACAGACATATTTAATATCATGTCTATGACAAATACCGTCTGTCCGACAGCAATGAAACGCACATTGTGTTAATGACGTCACCGTGTATCCCAGAAGCCTCGTCACCAGGAAGTGGTATGCCGGAGAGGTCTTGGTTTTTATTTTGACAATGATGGAGGAAGAAGAATTTGTGTTTGCGGAGGATTTGGAGGCTATTTTACATCTAACCCCAGAGGTGCAATTAGCAATTGAACAGGTAGTCGATTAACTTTGTTACTGTTGTAGTTTTTTTTTTTTACTTTATTGCTGGGCTTCCTAAAAATCAGCCAGCTGTTAGCACGTAAACACTACGACCGCTAGCTATTACACCTTGAGATCCCCCACGACTTTTAACGATTGTGTGGTTTAGCTTACAGAAAGTTTGCCAGATTGTTGTTGTACGTTATGTGTAACGTTAGTTCACGAAGCTGTATTGGCCATTCATCCTTAGGTAGCTGTTGTCGTGAATGTTAAGCACCTGTAATTACACACGCCTCATTTATCCAGCAGCAGGTTACATCAAATACACCATCAAATAGTCCGCGTAGCGCTGCTAGCAACAATTTTTGGACTAAAACGTCTTTTGTATTCCGTGTGCCAGGTTTTCCCCAGCCAAGACCCACTGGACAGAGCAGATTTCAATGCTGTGGAATACATCAACACATTGTTCCCCACCGAACAGGTACAGTGAAATGACAGAAACATCCACAGCTGGGATCACCCTTGGGATAGGCATACTATAACCCAGATAGCAAAATATTGTTATTATTATAATATTAGATAGCAAAATATAACAGGCATTTTTCAAAGCAGACATTTTGACGTGTCACTTTGGGAAAAGCACAGATGTTACCTATATTGTAATATAACAACGGTCCTGCTTTGTTAAGGCGTCCCAGTAAGACAAGACAGTAAACCAGTTAACCAAATTGCGGTTCATGACATTGATTGCGCTTTTAAATTTTAGGGGAAAACAATTAAACAAACAAATAGATGAAACAGTTTCAGGATAAAAACAACAAAAAAACAGATAATGTATGTTTATAATGCGCATGCTGCTCATTAATGCTGTATATTGGTGCACATGTCTGTGACTGGGTAAGCATATGCATATGTCAGTGTGTGTATTGTTAATCCCAAATTTACACTTTAAAAAGGGATAATTACATCATCTCCAAGAGGGGTCACTGTAACCCTAATGTTTGCTTACATACTGGAGAAGGGGTCACAGTAGTGTACATACATTTTCACCTAATTGGGGGCAACTGTGGTTCAGTGGGTAGAGCAGTCGTCTCCAAACTGGAGGGTTGGGATTCGAACTGGAGTTTCGAATCACAGTGCCGGCAGTCCCCATGTCTAAGTGTCCTTGGGCCAGATACTGAACCCCCAAGTTATTGCTTATCTACTTTATATTTCATTTGTATTGTGTGGCATTCATGTGGACTGCAAAGTGTCTTTGACAGAATTTTTCAACTTTGGGTCAAGCATTGTGATTTTTAGGATGTAAGATTCTTGTTTCTCATTCTTATTTTCCTGACCTGCTATCTTTATCTGCAGTCTTTGGCTAATATTGATGATGTCGTAAACAAGATTCGTCTGAAAATTCGGTGAGTAGATGTAAACAATATAATGATACATTTTTTGTTTCTGCTTGTATTTTACCTAGGGCTGGGCAATAAAACGATAAAGATAGTTATTGTGAAATGACTTTTTCTTGATAGAAATATAAGACATACATTTCTGACTGAACACATTGCATCTATGTTTTGATATACAACACGTACAGCCAATGATAATGAGCATAGCATTGTGCCAAACAAGCCATGTAGCTGGAATAGAGTTACAGACACATGGCTGGTTAGGTTGACGAACACAGCACAGTGCATAGGAGTAGCAGCTGGCAGCAGCACACATGCTAACCTTTGGGCTGCTACAGCCGTGCACAACAGTATATCATGACTGGGAGCAAGATAAAAGAGAAAATGGCAACAGAAAATGTTAACAAAAACTCATGTGACAGCTTTATTGAAGAAGACACTCCAACGGACAGCCCAAGGCCCAAAAGTTGTTGAAAAGAAGGGTTCAGAGGAATTCCGTAGCATGGAGGTATTTTAGCTATTTAAAGTCCGACAAGAAGCAGAGCAGTGTGCACTGCGAAATGTGTCAAAAGCATGTTCCCACAAAGACAGGTAATACCACATCTTTTTTACCGTCTGAAGCCCAGTATTAAACACTAAATGATTAAATACTGAAGTATCAGTAAGCTCCGACATTAAGGGCTTCTCTATTGATACCGAAGAAGTTAAGAAAGCAGATTTCCTATTTATTATTGCTACATAAAAGTTATCTTGCACATTTTTATCCCACCAACTCCGTTTCTAATTAATACTTTAGTCTATGCTGCATTTTCACTTTCCTGAATCCAGAAGACAGCGCTGTCACTTGGAACCTCAGTGCAAGGGCCGGGAGCAGCTCTGTCTCACACACTGTAGCATCCTGCAGTGCACACATGGCAGACTTAACTACAGAATGTGTGGTTACGTTGACAATGCTCGTTGTAGCAAGTCTTTTCTATGTAGTGCACAAACACGAGCAATCTGTGGAAACATCTAGTGGAGGTCCATTGCATACAGGCGAAAAATTGCACAATATTCAAAATATGTGAACATGGAAACAGTGTTTCTAATTGTTATTTTGTGCCACATTTAACAGCCGTCTGGACGACAACATCAGGACGGTGGTGAGAGGCCAGACCAATGTGGGCCAGGATGGCAGACAGGTGTGTTGAGCTGCAAGTCTTAAAGGAATATACTGCAGAGCAAGAAAAAAGGAATGTGCATTAGGAAAATAAAAATATAAAAGTACTTATGAATATAAAAAAATATATATATACACAGTTTAGATGAGGTTTTCAGATAGCGATAGATACATACACTGAAGGTTGTCATTCTGTTATACAATCATGGGTTAAGTCTTCATCAGTGTGACGGACCGGGGGCAGAAACTGTCCTTGGGTCTGGTTCTTTTGGCACACAGTGACCTGTAGCGCCGTCCAGAGGGGAGGAGTTAAACAATTTGTGTCCGTGGTGTGAGGGGTCTGCAGAAATCTTCTCTGCCCTCCTATTGACCCATGAGGTGTACATCTCCTCCATGGAGGGCAGGCTGGCACCAGTGATCTTTTCTGCAGTCCTGACTGTCCGCTGAAGTCTGTTCCTATCCTGTTTGGTGGCTGAGCAAACCAGACAGTGATGGAAGATCAGTGAACAGACTCGACTGTACAGCCTGACTGGCAAATGCCAGTTGTGAGCACAGGTTGTACTGGAGAACGTCAGGCCTTCATGCTACCTTCATGGAGTTTGTTTCTGACAGTTTACTCATTAAAATGCTGGTGGTCACGTAGGGCTCTCGCCATGCTCCTCCTGTTCCTCCTTGCACAAAGGAGCAGATACTGGTCCTGTTCCTGGGCTGCTGCCCAGTCCAGCTCTCCTGGTGTATTGGCTGGTCTCCTTGTATCTCCTCCATGCTCTTGAGACTCTGCTGGGAGACACAGCAAACCTTGCGACTGCATGTATGGATGTGCCTTCTTGGAGTAACTGGACTCAATTGGGCTACAGGTACTGCCTCATGCTACATACTCTGCTAAGACACTAGCAAAGCACAAACCTTGAGAAGAGTTGGTCGGGAGGGATAAGGAGAGATCATGTGGCCACCACCCGGAAAAACATTTCCTTTTTGACGATTGTCTTGCTTTTGCCTCTTCATCACCTGTTGTCACTTGCATTTGCACCAAAGCAGGTGAAACTGATTCACAGTCACTTCCTGAATGGACAGATTGATATCCCTGAAGTTTAATTGGCTTGGTGTTATACTGTGATGATTAAGTGGTTTTTTTAAAATTTTATTAGCAGTTTGTTATGTTGTTGGTGGGTGTGATAGAATGATGCTTGCACTAAACAGTAGAACTGTCCTCAGAAGTTGATTGATATGTGTGTTAGTATATGATAGAAGCACACTGTAGAAACCGTAGTGAGGGATCCTTCTCCTGGAGTTAGAACAGTGTCATTGGCCTCTGCCATCTCCTGCTCTTTCCTTTGTCCACACTGCTTCCATGGAAAAGGACAAGATGACTCAGATCCATTCTTCTTTATGGAAAACGCATCCGGGAAATAGATTGTGTGTAAATACTTGTATTTCATTTAAACCCAGGCTTTTGAGTCTTTGCTTTTCCTTGTGGGGGCATGACGGAAAAGAACAGCCCCTGCTGATTTAATCCAGCTGTGGCTTAAAGGGAATGGGACACCTGATGGGTGAGCCATGTATGTTCTGAGCAGTTGACATGATTAAGTATGCTTTGTCGTCAGGGTGTCTGGCCTGGTGGCCCTATCTTTTCCAGCTAGCTACTGTTTAGTAGCAGAAACACTAAATCCCCTCCAGGCCAGTAACATTACACAGTCACTCACAATCATTTCACTTTGCTTTTCTATGCACACT